CAGGTACCAAAGCTTTGAAGTGGAAACGCTAGGGGTTATCTATGCATTACGAAGATTCAGAGTTTACCTAGAAGGGTTAAAATTCAAGATAGTAACCGATTGTAACTCACTAGCACTAACCCTTAATAAAAAGCTAGTTAACAGTCGGATTGCGAGATGGGCTTAAGAGCTCGAAAACTACAATTATACAATATCCCATCGGGCGGGTATAAAAATGCCGCATGTAGATGCCCTAAGTAGGATCGAAACGAGTACTGCAAAAGCGGTGGCCGTAATCGACAGTGAAGATATAGACTTCCAGCTACAAATTATGCAAAATAGAGATAAAAATATACTTCAGTTGAAAAATAGGTTAGAGAAGGAAGAATTGCCCAAATATGCAATGGAAAACGGCGTGGTTTTTAGAAAATAGGAAAATCGTTTATTGCTATTCGCCCCTAAAGAACTAGAAAGAGAACTAATAAGAACAACACATGAGCAGTTGGGTCACCAAGGTATCGCCAAATGCTATCAAAAACTTAAAGCGAATTACTGGTTCCCGAATATGAAAACAAAAATTAACGATTTTAAGAAAAACTGCATAAGATGCATTATGTATTCGGCGCCAGAAAAGGCAAACAATAAGAACCTGCATAATATTCCAAAAGAACACAAACCCTTTCACACAACACACCTGGAGCATTTGGGACCACTTCCGTCGTTGCAATCAAAGCGAAAACATATTTTAGTAGTAATAGATGCATTCACCAAATATGTTAAACTTTACCCCGTGTTAACTACCAGTACGAAAAAAGTAACAGCTGCCCTAAATAAATACTTTGAGTATTACAGCCATCCCCATAGATGCATTCCCGACAGGGGAAGCTGTTTTACATCGAAGGAATTTCAGCAATATCTGTGTGATAAAAACATAACCTATGTAAAGGTGGCAGTGCACTCGCCACAAGCAAATGGACAAGCAGAAAGGGTAAATCGAAGTTTGGTAGGCATGTTAGCAAAACTTAGCGAACCACTGACCCACAGCGATTGGGTAAAACAGTTAGGGAAGATTGAATTTGCACTTAATAATTCGGTGAGTAGGTCGATAGGCATAACACCCAGCCAAGCCCTTTATGGTGTAAATCAGAGAGGCGAAATTGTAGATACATTGACAGAATATCTGGACGAGTACTTTTCAGGCCCGGGGGAGGTATTTCGAGACATTGCGAAACCATGCGGAAGAGTGTATTCAGAAAATATATAGAAAAAATATTTTAGTTCGTAAATTTATGTACTATTTATAAAGGAATATAATTAAAAACAAGTAACTAAAGAGGTATAAGTTTAGTCGAAACCGAACTTTATGTACCCGGCTCAGGTATCAAATAGTGTCGTTTCAACTCTCTCTAAACTACTACTTTGCATGATAAGCAGGGGTGTTTTTCCGAATTTCAAACGTTTTCGATAATATGCTGAGTTACACTCAATGATATAAATGAACGAAGTTTGATAGAAATCGATAAAGTGGTTACCGAGATACACCCCTTGTAGTGATAGAGTGGGCGATGCTACGCCCAATTCCTAAAAGTCTGTAGCAGTCTTATTTATTGTTAAGAGACTGTTGTAAGTATTAACTTGGAGTAAATTAAGAGTCCTCAGTTCTTGAAATATCAGTTTCCGCATTTCTGAAATTTACAGTTAGATATACGGGAAGCGGGTATAATTTTGGTCCGATTTGAATAATTTTCAAAGAATTTCTTTTCTGTATCAATGTTATTAAGCGCACCGAGTGTAGTAGAAATTGATAAATCGGTTACCGAGTTACACATTTGTGGTGATAAGTGGGCGGCGGTATAGCGGGACCCGCGGGACCCACGGTACTGACTTAAAATTGGCCGGGATGGGCGGTATCGGGAAGATGGCGGCGGGACGGGAGTAAAATCCTTTCCCGACCCTCCCGATAAAACCGCAACCCCCGCATATTTACAAAATCTTCCTTAAAAACGATGTTTGAAATATGCACATTTTTTTAAGCAAAACAAAATAATCGGAAGATACAAGATCTTTCATTATTTAAAATTAATTTGAAAGGCATGAACATTTTTGTCAACCTTCGATCGGTTTGCAAAGCCACGCCCATTATCCAAATTTATAATACTTAACCTAATTTTCTGCTAAGTGGTTATCGCAATCATCGATTTTAAGTGATTTATCTTTAGTAGTTATTGATTTATCGCAGTTTTCGTGTTTATGTAAATTACCGTTATATGGTAGATGCGCGTAGTCCTTGATCGATTTCAAAGATTTTTTCAGATTTCTTAGCTAGACCTTAAGCAAGGCTCGTAACGAGTTTGGTAAGGATTGGTGAATGACCTACTGAGTTACAGGATTTCATCATAATCATTTTCCAAAAAATTTCATAATATTTTTTTACCAAAATTCTACTTCACGTTCTAATTTTCAACAATTTGCATCCAATATTTACTGAAATATCATAGTTCTTACATTTTTCGAAAATACCATTATATAGGAAATGGTTACAGTAAGTGGTTGTTGTTGTTGTTGTAGCAGCATACAAGTTCCCCAAAGGGTTTTTGGGGAGTGTTGCTGGAGTGACAGTCCTTGGCCAGATATAAATCTGGGTCGTTCCGGTTACGTAGACCCGACTGTCGTGGGAACGTACAGTAAGTGGTTGATTTCCTTGGTGTTTATATAATTTTCTTGATTTCTTTCGGCCTAGCACATTTGCATACCACTGCATAGCAACAAGTAAGAGCGACATTACGGTAACTTTTTTTTGTAATGATGTATTTTGAGTTGTGCTATCTTACTGCATTAAAATCTCAATTTACATAAAACGGACTTAGCACGTTTGCACACTAAGCCAAAGATATACATTTTATATACCAACTGAAAGATAACTTGTGGCTGAGATATCCAATAATGGTCCATTTCCTATTTCAGGCAAAGTATAGCGAGTGTTGAGGAAGTGCTCATTGACCGATATCTTTACCATTTTGTGTAGAAATGCTAACAGTTTTAAAGTTATTTGTTGTTATAATTTCCCCATTATACACATATTTTTTATATAAACAATGCACTAATCACTTTTCTTTTTATTAATATATCATCTTTTCTTCATAAACAAATGAATGCACATCTTTTTTTTACTACATATTTAACAATTAATGCTAATAAAAGTGTTCTTTAAATAAGTTTCTTTCGCAAACGATGGCCGCGAAGTATGTAATGCCAGATCGTTGAAAACTTTACCCAAAAATACTTTGTGAGGCATTACGAAATATGTATATAGTATATGTATAAAATATATAAATTTTAAGGTATAACAATATTTTATTCTAAAGGGAAAATTTCGCGGGTTGGGTTTCCAATAATGGTCGAAGGGGGAGTGGGCGTGGCGTCTCCCCCACTTCAGAGAGGGCATGAACCGCCATTCCCAAAAATGCAACCGCCGACCGCCTAGGCCTCTTATAGGTCTCTAGGGACCTCTTAGAAAAATGGCCAAAAATCATATATTTCCCTTGCGTTTTCGCCTACTGTAAGCAAATGAAGGCACTTACTTGTATCAAAATGCAGGAAACACTTGGAATTGTACTAAAATTTATAATTTAATTGTTAAAGTTTATATTAGCGATAATAAAAACAACATTTCAACAATATGTAACTGTTGGAAATATATGAAATGTGGCAACACTCTCCATCACTCATTCGTTTCCTTTTGTTCTCTTGTACGCACAGCTCGTAAGCAATTCGTTTGTCAAATGTAAAGTAAGTCTATTCTATCTATTCAAATACAACAAATCAAACAGGTTATGGGCCAAGCGCTTTACTGTGTGTCGGTATTTCTTTGAAAAACCTTGCGTTATTGAACTTTTGCATACTGTGTGTCAAGAGGAAAACGAAAAAGCGTTGGCGTCAATATTACTTTGCGTGAAACCTTCGCAAATCAATCACCAAAAAAATTTGCCAAGCGCAATGGTAGCGTGGAGCAAACTCCGCGAAATCCATCAGCCAAAAGGGCCAGCGAGAAAAATTTTACTGTTTAAAAAACTTTTACACCTCAGTATGTCTGAGGGAGCTTATGTTTCAAATCATTTAAATGAGTTTTGTCGCATCCAGGAGGTGTTAGTAATAATTTTGCTTTCAAGTTTGCCGCCACAGTATGCGGCGATGGAGACAAGGGATGTATTGCCTTCGTTTAACACTTTAAAGGTAAAGTTGTTAGAAGAGGGTGCGCGGCAGTGTGCTAGCGAAGAAAAACATAAAAAAGGTACAGAAGTGTTAATGCAAGCCCAAGCAAACGCGTCTGGAACTTTCCAAAAAGCAAGCAAGAACAGCGCAGACGTTGATAACAGTTCTGGGAACTACAGCAACAAAAACAATAAGAACAGCAGAAGTGGCAAGTGTTTTAATTGTGGTCGTCGTGGACATTTCGCGGCATCATGCAGAGAGCCGAAAAAGAACGAGTGCAAAAAAGAAGGCAATAATGTCGAACGGTCATGCTTTATGACGAGTGCGAAAACATCACTACACGTGTTAATTGCGAAGCAGACTTGGTGCGTTGACAGCGGGATTTGCTGGAAATTGTCCATGGTGATGTTTGTGGG